GCATTAATTGACAATGCATCCAAAAGGTAAATATTTCATTTTTTTTTCTCCGAAAGAAAAAAATTCCATGTCTGAGTACAATGAGACAGAAAGAGTCATTCTACAATATTTTCCTCTCTACAGTATATTTAACTCCTTAAAAACTCACTGCCATTTATATTTATAAAAAAAAGTCCAAAAAGAAGCAGATATGTAATTCAGGTCAATGAGGCGTTTGATGCCAAGAGGGGACGGCGGAGTCTGACACACTTGCTGTTGATCCAAATCATTACCTGAAATCGGACTAAGATACTCTTTCATATAATACTGGTTGGTATTATATTATCATTTAATGTTCACGGACAATGGATAATTATTTAACTAAAATAACTGAATATTATAAACTAATGATGAATTTTACAAAAAAAAAAAAAAAAAAGAAAAAAAGAAAGAAAAGATTGATATATCCATCATTTAATGACATTATTTTTTCCTTCCCACTTACCTTTTACAACAAAAATTAGACCTTTGTATTATTTCATATCTCATAGATATATAAGTCAAATGCATGCACCGGTTATATTATTTCATTTCATGTTCAACCATATATAGGCCAGTAAACGAGCATATTTTCCCCATTGAGGTTGGAAAAAATTGGTGACAAAGGTTTCTCAACTGATTCTGGTCCGTTGAAGGCCCAATATAACCCAAAAAATTTCCCCCATGAATCCCCCCATGGCAAAGTCTCGTTTTCCACAAAAATCCAAAATGGCCGCTATTGAATGGGGTGGGTGGACTTGAAATCCATAACTTGGGAACCCAGTGTGACAGAAACATGTTTTAAGTATCAACTCCTACTAAGTGAGGGATCCCCAATCTTTTGCAACTAAACTCAAGGTCACTGGAGGTCAAGGTCATGACCTTATTACAAGATCAAGGCATTTTTGGAGAAAAAAAACCCATAATGTCTATATGACAGTTTCCCAATGTCACAGAAACACGTTTAAAGTATCAACTCCTACTAAGTGAGGGATCCCCAATATTTTGCAACCACTTTCAAGGTCACAGGAGGTCAAGGTCATGACCTAATCACAAGATCTATACATTTTGCGAGCAAAAAAATGACGTGATGTCCATATATTGGTAACCTAATGTCACAAAAACATATTTTAGTCTTAACTATTATTGAATAGTGCACCACCAATCTTTTGCAAATTTATTCAGAGTCATTAGAGGTCAAGGTCATGCCCGTAATTTCAAGGACACTGCATTTTTCGAGCAGAAAATTCCCATATTATCTAAACCTTTGTAACTGGATGTCACAGAAGCATGTTTAAATATCATTTCCTACTAAGTGAGGTTCTGCGAATAATTTGTAAATGCTTTCTAGGCCACCAGAGGTCAATGTCATGACCTTATTTTCAAGGTCATGGCATTTTAAGCTTGAACAAAATGCCATCATGTCTATATTTTGATAACCCTATTTCACAGAAACATGTTGAAAGTATCGATTCATACTAAGTAACATATTGCCGATCATTTGAAACTATTTCTAGGATCACCAGCGGTCAGGGTCATATCCTTATAACAAGGTTGTTATAACATTTAAGAAAAATTGATTTTACACTAATCAAAAACAACACAGGTGATTGTTTCAAGAATATTTCATTACAGAAAAGGCATCGGCACTACTGCATGGTACTCATTTAATTCAATGACATTCGGTTTACAAGGCTTAAGGGTATACTGTACCCATTTCAAAATCACTAAGTGTTACACAGATATATGTTTAAATAAAGCTGTATTTTACATTATACAGGAACTAAAAGTGAAAAAAAAAATCAAGTATTGAAGTACCTGAACCTTGTGTGAATATTCCACTATATGTCAGAACTACATTGTTCAAAACTTCCTATTCTATTGCAGGGAGGAGTCGAGCAATTACATTTCTTCAAAAACTTCAGATACATGTGGGAGACCTTTAAAGCTTAATAACATGACATAAACTTGTTTCATACTGGGCAAAGACAGCCTTTTACACAATAACCATTGTACATAGCCTCATATAAGACATGTAAAAAATTGGAATATTACAGCATTCTATAATACTGCAATGGGGGAATTAATTCATTTTGGGTACATAAACATTTAGATAAAATATTATGGAATTAGAAATGAGGACGTTTTATATTGGCCACAGGCTGGGGGGAAATATAACCAGGTGGAATGGCACCTTTTTATGGTATTTACCTTTTTGCCCAGAAGACAGGTTGCTACACCATTTGAACATCTCTCCAGCTTTTAAAAACCATCAAATCTTGATTTCTCATTGATATACACTTCCAGTGCTTCTCTCAAATCTTCAAACTTACTAGCCACAAGTTTATCACAATTGCTAGCTGTGGGTCTCTATACTAACAGTAGGTCTACATGTAGTTGTGGGATATGGGTCAAATAAAAGAGTCCCTTTCAGAGGTGAAATACATTTTCCTGGACAAATTCAAGGAACAATTTGACTGCATGATGGACAGTGGTTAAAAGGCAAATGTGTCCTCTGCAGATAAGTTGGACTATTTACTTCAATGCAACTTGAGGATAAGGCAGTCTGCATTAATGCACAACAATTAATAAGCATTTATTACCACCTGATCAACTGATATTTGTTAGAAGGCTAGTTACATAAGACTAGTTACATGATGAGCTTCAAACTGAAGGATACAAAGTCCTTTACGTACGTGTTAGATCCTCGCCCACAGCTACAACTGTTTGTACGTCCCTTGTCCTTGGTGCTTTGACCATCAAATACAGGCCTGTAGCCAGTGGCATTCTGGGTAAAATTTTATCTTGGTACACAAATATTTCTAGGTCCACTTTTTTCAGAAAAAAAGCCCCCCTCCCCCCTTTTGAGACTGCTAGCTGGTCATAATGACTGTTGAATGAGATGCAGCAAAGTAAACGAAGGATGGTGGTGAGAGCCTGTAGCCAGTTTCCTATCCTAACAGACCTGATAAAAACTTCCAGTTTGCGATCATGTCTCAGTACTAGTTCTCCAATCTGACAGGAGCTGGCATGATATGAAAACATATAACTACTTTTGACACAGATGAACACACCAAAAAACAGCAGCTTTAAAGTTTGTCGACCAAAACATTACACTTTCTAATAGAGAGTTCACTTGTGGTGAACAAGTTCTCCCCAGCAAGTGGCCTGCTGCTTATTTCAGAATCCCACTGCAGGACCAATAATTGGGATATTTAGGAAAACAGATGCTGAAATGATGCTCAAAGGGCACCATCTACAAGTTTGTCTTCACACAAGACAAGTTACTAATTTCCCACTCAGCACATTAAAATTACCCAATTAACCCAAGTATCGACTTGCGACAGCATGCTCAGTAGGCTTGGGAGAGGGCATAGCTTTTAGACCTCACCCATCCATGATGGAGCAGAGTCGGAGCTATAGGTATTGAATCAACCATTAAGAATCAACACATTTTACCATTGGCAATTCAGTAATGGCTAGCCTTTGGTTGTCATAAAAGCAACCAAATACAGATACTGATTAAATGGGCAAATAAATGTGCTGTATCCACTATCTCCTCTCTACAATGGCACACAGATACTTCAAATTAGACCATACATACAAAGGTGGGACAAGAAGGCTTTAGGTCAATCATTGGGCAGACAAGAAGAGAGCTTATGCCAATAGTACCGGTATTAAAATGAAGTATTTACATCAAACAACAATGGGCTCAGGTCGCTCTATAAAATGTAACATTTGTCATGAAAAATGGAGATGCATATTTTGCTCTTAAACAATCTTATGTGTTGTACTTAGATCACCCTAGAATCAAATTTTCGTTAAATTTCATGATGACCTTGCAATAAGGTCAATCCTGTACCTCCTAGATTTTGGAAATAGTTGCAAATGATAAACAGGACCCCATTTACAAGGCATTATTGGCATGCTAAACACTTTTCTGTAACATTTGGTAACTGAGAAATTATGGAATTTCGCTTGAAAATCTTACGATCTTGTAATTAGCGGTCATAACCTTAACCTCTGGTGACCTTTAAATTAGTTCCAATTGATTGTTGACTTCTCATTTAGTAGGAATTGATACATTAAACATGCATGCTTTAGTGACGTACGGTTACCAAGTTATAGATAATATGATATAATTCACTTGGAAAATACTATGCCCTTGAAATTTTTTCATAATCTTGGCCTCTGGTGACCTTGAAAATAGTTGCAAGTGTTTGGCAGTGTCCCACTTGGTTGATACTGTTTCTTATAACATGTTTCTATGACAACAGGGGAACTGTCATATAGACATTATGGGTTTTTTTGCTCCAAAAATGCTTTGACCTTGTAATAAGGTCATGACCTTGACCTCCAGTAACCTTGAGACTAGTTGCAAAAGATTGGGGATCACTCACTTAGTAGGAGTTGATACTTAAAACATGTTTCTGTGACATTGGGAAACTGTCACATAGACATTACAGGGTTTTTTTCCTCCAAAAATGCTTTGACCTTGTAATAAGGTCATGACCTTGACATCCAGTACCTTGAGACTAGTTGCAAAAGATTGGGGATCACTCACTTAGTAGGAGTTGGTACTTAAAACATGTTTCTGTGACACTGGGAAACTGTCATATAGACATTATGGGTTTTTTTCTCCAAAAATGCCTTGATCTTGTAATAAGGTCATGACCTTGACCTCCAGTGACCTTGAGACTAGTTGCAAAAGATTGGGGATCCCTCACTTAGTAGGATTTGATACTTAAAACATGTTTCTGTGACATTGGGATCCCAAGTTATGGATTTCAAGTCCACCCACTCCATTCAATAGCGGCCATTTTGGATTTTTGTGGAAAATGAGACTTTGCCATGGGGGGATTCATGGGGGAAATTTTTTGGGCTATATTGGGCCTTCAACGGACCAGAATCAGTTGAGAAACCTTTGTCACCAATTTTTTCCAACCTAAGTTGTTTATTGACTGGCCTAATATTACTTTTGCTTACTTGGAGCAGTATTTCCACTAGTTGTGTTTACATGTGCTTAGTATGTACGTAGAAGTTTTCTCTACTTCTGTGGTATGTACAATGAAGAGAAGAGCACCAATAAAATAGAAAATAAAGAAAATTTTCAACAAAATGAATACTTGTGTTTTTGTATGTATTTAACCATCATAATCGCCGTTAAGTGCATGAGTGAGAGAAATCAAACTGTCATGCACCGATTGCTATAGGTGAGATTTCTAAGCTCACTCTATAGAGGGCACAACGAATCCGGACGCGTTATCGGAAAATTCCCATAAACAAGCAGAGATGTCGGCGGGTGGCGGGTAAGGTTTACCGATTTGTATCATTTGTTCGTCAAGTATATTCAACTTGCTCAAGGTTGAGACTAAATAACTGAAGCTGAAAAAATCGTTCATGCTTTTCATATCCACACTGACGCTGGGTAGAACACAACAGTTCATTTCAACGATGCTTCATCTGTCACTATTAAAACACTGTATACCGGTAGACTATCGGGAAACCTTACTTTTTAAGCCAAGGGTTATTAGTTCGTTTTCAAGCACACCTTTCTTAGTTTTATATTTTTATATCCCCTAGTTATGAGTTAGTCAGTTAACTCGAATGTGACGCAAACTATGTTAGTACGTATATGTGGAGATCTATTTATGTATCATGCTGACGCTAAATCATGTAATTTTTAAAAACGAAAGTACCCAAAATTTCCAACTGCATTCAATGTGAGTAAGCATTCGTACGCTCTACCGCGGAAATCGTTCAGTTTTATGCATGTTATACATGTTTTTGTGCAGAAGGGATACATTTTTGACATTTTTCTTTATTTTCAGAGACAGTACTTGCGACGTGCAATTGCACTACGATTTTAAGCATGGCAAAAGAGGGAAAGCAATAATATTTAACCACATGGAATATGATCCAAAAGCTAAAACTAAAGAAAGACTTGGTACACTTGCACTTTTTTCTTTTTACATTTAAACTTACAAAGGTTTAATCTGTAAGAAATGTGTAAGCTGGAGGTTTTCTTGCTGATATTTACCTTTTACTCTTTTTTTACACATTTTTTAATTAAAAATTTCAACTACATGTATATAGAAATGTTAGATTATAAAGTGTATACAAAAACAATATTTTTAAAAACACATGTTTGCACAGTTGTTTCCTCGTGGATTCCTTTTGACTCAGGGTTTCAGATATTACTGGAAATACCCCTTTTTATCAGGGTGATTTTACTCCTTTCAGCTTCTATTTGTGATGCCAACATGTTGGTGGAAACCTTCAAGAAGTTAGGTTTTGCTGAAGATGAAATTCACATCTATCATGGAATACATGTGCAGCCAGGGTCAGAATCACTCATAGCTAAGGCAAATGGGTCTGGTATGTATATTTGAAATAATTTGAATTTATTTATGTTTCTTGTGTGTTCAAGTATACCAGTACCTGAATAAAGTGACCAACAGCATGTTGAATGCTTATTGATAAGGACATGTGTACAAGTAATCGTCACCTAAATATTAAACTTTGGGGAGAATTTTTTGTAGCAAAAACAACTTTCAAATAATAATATAAATTTCATAGGTGTCTTTGAGTTACTAAATTGTGCTTGACACAATACTTCATATTTTTCTTTCTAAATTTTTAAGTCTTGTATTTTAGAGAAAGATACCTCTGTTGCTTATGAAGAACGTCAGAAGGCCTTCCAGGCAGTACTAAAACAGAAAAAAATTCTTCCAGAAAACATCAAGTTTTACAAAGGTTCAAAATTAACTCAGTTAACTTCATCAGAAACACTGAAGATTATTGAAGAAGGTAAAGAACAGAGCCAGTGTGGATATGGTTAATTTCAGATCAATTTAGCTTTTAGTCTGTTTGTCTTGAGCCATTTGTTGGTCTTTTCTTGGTCTACACCTGTCTCTTTGGTCCTTTTGGGTACTTTCCATGTATTGGCTTTTCTTCCCAGGTTTTCCGCATTTGTAGCTGGCCAAGTTGTTTTGCTTTCTGTTTGACTCTGCAGGCATACTTTGTTGTCGCTTCATTCTCGGTTGGTGGTATTTCTGGGATTTTCAGCTCCTGCTTGAATTTTGAGGCTTCCTTTTTGATCGAGAAGAGCTTTTTTCTATCCTCATGATATTTCACTAGTTGGAGAAGTGGGTCTTCTGTTGATGTCAGGTATGTGTCCAGGCCTATGGTGGTAATTTTGAAGGACAGTTCGAGTTGGACCAGGCCTCTTCCTCCTTCTGCTCTTGGGAGGTACAGCCTGTCAACATCAGCTTTTGGGTGGTGCATCTTTTCCATGGTCAGCATCTTCCTGGTCTTGGTGTCTAGTCTTCTGATGTCGCTCATTTTCCAGTTGATGATGTTAAAGCTGTATGTCACTACAGGTATGGATAGGGTGTTGATAGTCTCAAATCGGTTGGCCGCGTTGAGTTCGCTCTGCAGTACCGTTCTCACTCTCCTGAAGTACTCTTTCCTAACCTTTTCCTTCATGGCGGCATGTTGGATGCCGTCTCTCTCGTTCACTCCTAGGTACTTGTATGTGCCCTCTTGATCTATTTCCTTGATGACGGTGTTGATGTCAAGGTTGATATTGGTGGTTTTAGTTAGCCGTCCTCTCTTGAAAGTGGCTTTTGCACATTTGTTGAGTCCAAACTCCATCTTGATGTCATCACTGAAGGCCTTGACGATGGTGAGTAGGCCTGTCTGTTGGCCATCATCTCTGGCAAAGGTCTTCAGGTCATCCATGTAGAAGAGGTGGTTAACTTTGCCATTCTGTGATTCGTACCCATAGCTGGATCTATTGAGCATGGTGCTGAGGGGCGCTAATGCCAGGCAGAAGAGCAGTGGTGAGAGTGAATCTCCTGTTGATGTTGATTGGTCTAGATGTTAGTGAACTGTTTGCGTGGTGGAGATTTAAGGTGGTTTTCCAGTTCTTCATGCTCTGTACAATGAATCGGATGGTGGTGGGACAGACTCTGTAGATCTGTAGGCTCTTCTCTATCCATGTGTGAGGCACGCTGTCAAATGCCTTCTTGTAGTCGATCCATGCTGTTGACAAGTTCTTCCTTTTGGACTTGGCCTCTTCAAGTATGGCTTTGTTAATTAGCAGCTGGTCTTTGCATCCGTAGCTTCCTTTCCTACATCCCTTCTGTACAGCTGATTACAGGTTGTTTTTGTCAAGAAAGGTGTAGGTCCTTTCTGTGATGATTGACGTAAGGATCTTATACATGGTCGGTAGACAGGTGATGGGTCTGTAGTTCTTTGGGTTCTGTGTTTCCTCTGTCTTTGGGAGCAGGTATGTGATACCTTGAGTGAGCCACTTGGGACAATCATCTGGATTCTCTATGATGTTTGTAAATGCCCTTGCTAGGTCTTTGTGTGTGCTGGGGGAGGTTTTTGATCCAGAAGTTGGCAACTCCATCTATCCCAGGTGTCTTCCAATTGCTGGTCTTGTTTATGGCGGCAATGGTCTCTGTGATATTGATTTCTGACCATTGTTGGTTCTGCAAGCCCTTGTGTTGGTCTTGTTCCTGTTGGATCCAAGTAGCCTGTTCATTGTGTCTTTTGTTGTTCTCCCATATTTATTATTATTATTGTTATTATTATTATTATTATTATTATTATTATCATTATAACATTCATTAAATGAAGATCACTGTAGGATGGTTATATGATAAAGATAACAGTTAATATTGAAGGTGTAGCATAGGTTGTTGAAGGAAATAAGATTAAATATCACGCTGGAAAGTAAAATTCCTTGAATTCAAGTTACCATTGTATGAATCCATATTGTCAGGTTTGGGATGATGTTTCACGGTAGTTTATTTTGCATATGCAGATTTGTTCGTTCTTCACACTATTTTCTGTTTCGATTAACTGTTTGGGGTGTGAGGATGCTTCTTACAAGTGCTCCACGTACATTTTTTTTCTTTTTCTTTTTTCTTTTTATATAGTTTTTGAAGAAAATCTGGAAAAAAAGTTTTCTTAGGCATATTCATATTTACGTTTCAGCTGCAAAAGATGAAAAATACAATGAAGATGCTGACTGCATTGTGTTTGCTGTACTTTCTCATGGAAAGGAGGGCCCAGATATGTCAGATGATTCAGTTCTCCAGGATCTCATTCGTTGCTACGATGATCGTCTTCATATTGAAAAGTTTATGCAACCACTGCGAGACGACACATGCTTATCACTAAAAGGAAAACCAAAGTTGTTTTTCATACAGGTAATGAAAACAAGCTGGGAGCCCTCAATTTTTTCAACACTCAGGGTCATGGTTATTGTCTAATGTGTAGCCAGTCTTTGTTTCTTCTTGTGTATGTGTATACTTGTATGTGTCTCGGCTTAGGTTCAAATTGAGGTATATTTCCTAGTCCAGATTCAGATCTAAATATACAAAATATCTAAATGTCAAATTGTAAGTTCTAAGTTTATTCAAAAGCTTTGGTTTTGTCGATTTTTTGTATCGTAGTCCATATTACTTTCTCAAAATTTGTGGATCATTTGTGTTTGTGATTGTGCATTGGAGAATGTGTAACACCGGTTACACTCACCTTTTGGTATAATATATAGAGTTTGTGTCACTAAAGTTTTTTTTTCAGGCATGTCGAGGGACTGGACGTGATGATGGTGTTCTGGTCAAAGAAGATGCCCATTCAGGCAAAGTTTCAGCAGGCCCACCACGGACAATAACTTCTACCCCAGTAGAAATGAGAAACATCCCTGCATATAATAACTTCCTGACAGCTTACAGCACTCCTCCAGGTAAATCCCAGTTCATGATGCCAGGACCCTGGTCCAATAATTTCTAGTGTAAAGTCTGCTTTAATTAACATGTGCAGGGATGGCAAGCGCAAAAGAAAGTTACCCCCTAGCAGTTTGAGGAGGCATGTCATTCATTTAAGCCAATTGTACTTATTGAGAGTCCCCGCTGAGTTGGACAGACCCAACTAGTATGATGTGTTTATCTGAATGCTCCCTATGCTCAAAGTTCACAAATTGTAAACACTGATATATATATATATATATATATATATATATATATATATATATATATATATATATATATATATCAGTATTACTGCNAAGTTCACAAATTGTAAACACTGATATATATATATATATATATTATTTGCAGTAATTCTTTTCCAAATTTTAAGGATATATTTTAAGATTCAGCAAAGATGAAGGGAAAGAAGGCCATAATAGTAGGCCAGCTATAGTAGTGAAACTTTCATGATCAGCTGGTGCAACAGTTTGAAGAGCTCACCTGTTTTCTCTGCGTTTGTGAAGGGGATAGTTTTTTCGCTTGAGTTAACTGTTAAATTTTCTCCTTTGAAGGGTTTTCATCATCCAAAGGATCACGTGGATCTTATTTCATAAGAAGCCTCTGTTCAAAGTTAAATGAGCATTATAATAGTGGAATGGACCTCATAAGAATATTGACAAGAGCAAGTAGTCACATGGCTAAGGAGTACAGTCCTACAAGAGGCGAGGGTTACCCAGCACTCCTTAAGAAGAAACAGGTGCCTGTCATCGTCTCAAAATTGACTAAACTGGTCGTCTTCACTGCCAATTGATTGGCTTAATGAATATAAACAATGTCTCAAATTTGACAAAATTGAGCGTCTTCACTACCAATTGATTGGCTTATGAATAAGTGGACTATTAATATATTGTCTCAAAACTGACTAAACCTGTCGTCTTCACTGTCAATTGATTGGCTTAATGTTTTAGTGGACTATTCATACATTGTCTCAAAAATTGACAGAGTGATCTCTTCACTGCCAATCAAGGAACATTGTACTGATTGCGTTTATGCTTTTAAGTTATAATGACCAGTATTGTTAAAAATTAAAAACTAGAAAATTTAGTCGGTCTTGAAATTTTTGTTCGAAGATGACTCTCTGTCGTCTCGATAATTTTGAAAAGTTTTGTCACCTTATGTGGTCATGTCGGATACATGCATTTGAAAATATTAATTAATTTTTAAGTGACGAAATTTTCAAGTTTTTTCCGTAATGACTGTGCCTTATTTGTTCAATGTAAACTCTGTATTCTAGAATGATTTTCATTAGTTATTCAAATTCGCCGGGGAGGATTGAAATCCATCTCCATTTCTCACCATTATGAATTGTATGTGCTTCTTTTCAAATCGCATCGTTTTATGTACAACCAATACAGGTGAAATGTTTTTTAACCATATAAAGACATTCTGAGGTCGTATTATGGCAATAATTCACAGGTATCTCGCCAACGAAGTTTTTTCACAAACGAAGATTGTCTGTATACATACATTTAATATGTAAATGGCATTAAGATAATGGAATTGTACCAATGGTTTCACAAGACGTTGTAAATTACTGAAGAAAGAGCAAACAATTATTCGTCAAAGTGTCATTTAAACGAAAATAAGGTGTATAAGTTTTCCGTTTCGTTTCTTACTTTCATTTTTGCTTGTCTATTTGTCAGTCAGTTTGTCGTCTCTCTCTCTCTCTCTCTCTCTCTCTCTCTCTCTCTCTCTCGTAATACATATATATTTGATATCAAGTAACCCATTTCCTCTCTAAATATCGCTCTTGTTAAATACACAACGGCTTTGTTGGCCAATTGTGCTTACCGCGTACTCCATCTATATATACAAAAACGTATATAGTACATCAGGGCCTATAATAAATACTTGAAGTACCCCACTTTACATTTGTTTCTTGAAGGAAATTCGCGTGCACAAAGACATTCACCTAACAGTGGTGACTGTGATCTTTTAAATAAAAATCCTGTTGCTATGAAGGCATATCTCAAAAGGATTCGAAGCAACAAACGCTAAACCAAGTATTGCTGAATGTTATCGCAAGATGTCGGAATCGCCGCACGAAAACGCAAATGAAATGGAAATGGAGTTTTAACAGCAAGACCAATCTTACAGAACCTAAACAAGAGGGCAAAAGATGGACTTCGAGAGAGAAATGTTTGGCTTTTGTCCTCTTTTTCTGCTCTGTTGCCGTAGTTTTGTTGGTCTTGATTTTGGTCCTTGGGGTATACGGTTTGGTTCACATATTCCCCTCGAGTTTAACTTCGCAGACGACATTGCCACCCAAAGCCGCGTCTTTTTATTGTATGACACAAGAATGTATCAGATCTGCGGATGCAATTTTGTCAAACATCAACGTCTCTGTCGATCCTTGCGAAGATTTTTTTTCGTTTTTCGTGTGATGGATGGTTAAAGAAGAACCCAATTCCGGACTCCCATAGCAGGTAGGCTTGGCGTTACATTCTTAATAAAAACCAGATGGTGTAGAGAATTTTGTTGCACGTTTCATTATTTTTTTCATTGTATTTTGGTTCACATAGATGTTGTAATGAATTTTTACAATTACACGAGTGCAGTCTCGGCGTTCTTTGTTCGGTTATATTATTTCATTTCATGTTCAACCATATATTACTTTTGCTTTCTTGTAGCAGTATTTCCACTAGTTGTGCTTATATGTGCTTAGTATGTACGTAGAAGTTTTCTCTACTACTATGGTATGTATAATGAAGAGAAGAGCACCAATAAAATAGAAAATTAAGAAAAATTTCAACAAAATTTGAATACTTGTGTTTTTGTATTTATTTAACCATCCTAATCGCCGTTAAGTGCATGGGTGAGAGAAATCAATTAAACTATCATGCACCGATTGCTACAGGTGAGATTTCTAAGCTCACTCTATAGAGGGCGCAACGAATCCGGAAGTGTTATCGGAAAATTTCCTTAAAACAACCAGCGATGTCGGCGGGTGGCGGGTATGTTTTACCGATTTGTATCATTTGTTCGTAATGTATATTCAACTTGCTCAAGGTTGAGACTAAATAACTGAAGCTAAAAAGTCGTTTTTGCTTTACAAACCACACTGACGATGGGTCGAACAAAACAGTTCATTTCAACGATGCTTCATCTGTCACTATTTAAAAAAACACTACCGGTAGATTATCGGGAAACCTTACCTTTAAGTCAAGGTCTAAGGTTTTAGGCACACCATTCAAAGTTTAATATATATCTATGTTCCCTAGTCATGAGTTATAATACAGTCAGCTAACTCGAATGTGACGTAAACTATGTTAGTACGTATATGTGGAGATCTATTTACATGTATGTATCATGCTGACGCTAAATCCTGTCATTTTTTGAAAACGAAAGTACCCAAAATTTCCAACTGCATTCAATGCTAGAGGGCATATGTATGCTCTACCGTTCAGTTTTATGCATGTTATACATGTTTTTGTGCAGAAAGGATGCATTTTTGATGTTTTTCTTTATTTTCAGAGACAGCACTTACGACGTGCAGTTGCACTGCTACGATTTTAAGCATGGCAAAAGAGGAAGAGCAATAATATTTAACCACATGGAATATGATCCAAAAACTAAAATTCAAAAAAGACTTGGTACACTTGCACTTTTTTCTTTTGACATTTAAACTTAAAAAGGTTTCAGCTGTAAGAAATAGTATAAGCTGGAGGATTTCTTGCTGATATTTACCTTGTATTCCTTTTTTCTTTTACACATTTTAATTAAAAATCTCAACTACATGTACATGTATATATAGAAATGTAAGATTATAAAGTGTATACAAAAGAGTATTTTTAAAAACACATGTTTGCACAGTTGTTTCCTCATGGATTCCATTTGACTCAGGGTTTCAGATATTGCTGGAAATATGCCTTTTTAACAGGGTGATTTTACTCCTTTCAGCTTCTATTTGTGATGCCAACATGTTGGTGGAAACCTTCAAGAAGTTAGGTTTTGCTGAAGATGATATTCACATCTATCATGGAATACATGTGCAGCCAGGGTCAGAATCACTCATAGCTAAGGCAAATGGGTCTGGTATGTATATTTGAACTAATTTGAATTCATTTATGTTTCTTGTGTGTTCAAGTATACCAGTACCTGAATAAAGTGACCAACAGCATGTTGAATGCTTATTGATAAGGACATGTGTACAAGTAATCGTCACCTAAATATTAAACTTTGGGAAGAATTTTTTGTAGCAAAAACTTTCAAATAATAATATAAATTTCATAGATGTCTTTGAGTTACTAAATTGTGCTTGACGCAATACTTCATATTTTTCTTTCTAATTTTTTATGTCTTGTATTTTAGAGAAAGATACCTCTGTTGCTTATGAAGAATGTCAGAAGGCCTTCCAGGCAGTACTAAAACAGAAAAAAATTCTCCCAGAAAACATCAGGTTTTACAAAGGTTCAAAATTAACTCAATTAACTTCAACAGAATCACTGAAGATTATTGAAGAAGGTAAGGGACAGAGCTAGTTTGGATATGATTCATTTCTGATAAATGTATAAATATATGATCATTTTAACTTCAGCATAAACATAGCTGGTTAGCCTTGTTTTTACACCTACGTCCCTTAGCGAAGGTCATCTGATATTGTAAGAAATTATCAGACTGTAAGTAACACTTGTATTTGCTTCTTATCGCCTTGTGACACAATACTTATCTAAAACACACTACTGTGTTACATTGTTGTGTCTTTACACAAGGTCTTGGACCCCAAATTCATATCTATTTGTGTAATGAATAAGCAGATGAACATGCCATTGTCATTGTTTTATTGAAGTTTAAGCAGAGTGCCTGAGTGTTTTCCTGGCTTTTGGGCTTGAACTCTTTTTGCTTTTATTTGTTGGCTTTATGCACATTTATTTTGAAGTCACTTTGATTTTTAAGTTAATGTATATTTTTTATGTTAATTTTTACTTTATAATTTTTATTCATGGTCCTAGATTTATCTGTACAACTTCAACCTTTTAGTTGCAATGTTTCAAATAAACTTATTATTATTATTATTATTATTATTATTATTATTATAACATTAATTAAATGAAGATACTTTAGGATGGTTCTATGATAAAGATTAGTTTAATGTTGAAGATGTAGCATGGGTTATTGAAGGAAATAAGATTAAATATCATGCTAAAAAGTAAAGCACCTTGAATTCAAGTTTCCATTGTATGAATCCATATTGTCAGGTTTGGGCTGATGTTTCACAGTAGTTTATTTTACTTATGCAGATTTGTCTGTTTTTCACACTATTTTTCTGTTTTGATTAACTATTTGGGCTGTGAGGATGCTTTTGGCTAGTGTTCCACATTCATTTTTTTTCTTTTAAAATTTTTTTTTACTACATTTTTTGGAGAAAATCCGGAAAAAAAAAACTTTTCTTAGGCATATTCATATTTACATTTCAGCTGCAAAAGATGAAAAATACAATGAAGACGCTGACTGCATTGTGTTTGCTGTACTTTCTCATGGAGGTGAGGTCTCAGATGCATCAGATGATCCAGTTCGCCAGGGTTTCATTCATTGCTACGAAGGTCCTCTTCATATTGAACTGTTTATGAAACCACTGCGAGACGACACATGCTTATCACTAAAAGGAAAGCCAAAGTTGTTTTTCATACAGGTAATGAAAACAAGCCGGGAGTCCTCAATTTTTTCAACACTCAGGGTCATGGTTATTGTCTAATGTGTAGCCAGTCTTTGTTTCTTCTTGTGTATGTGTATACTTGTATGTGTCTCGGCTTAGGCTCAAATTGAGGTGTATTTCTTAGACCAGATTCAGATCTTAATATACAAAATATCTAAATGTCAAATTGTAAGTTCTAAGTTTATTCAAAAGCTTTGGTTTTGTTGATTTTTGATATCGTAGTCCATATTACTTTCTCAGATTTTGTGGATCATTTGTGATTGTGTGTTGGAGAATGTGTAACACAGGTTACACTCACCTTTTGGTACAATATATAGAGTTTGTGTCACTAAAGGTTTTTTTTTTTTTCAGGCATGTCGAGGGACTGGACTTGATGATGGTGTTCTGGTCCAAGAAGATGCCCATTCAGGCAAAGTTTCAGCAGGCCCACCACGGACAATAACTTCTACCCCAGTAGAAATGAGAAACATCCCAGCATTTAATAACTTTTTGACAGCTTACAGCACTCCTCCAGGTAAATCCCAGTGCATGATGCCAGGACCCAGGTTCAATAATTTCTAGTGTAAGGTCTGCTTTAATTAACATGTGCAGGCATGGCAAGCGCAAAAGAAAGTTACCCCCTAGCAGTTTGAGGAGGCATGTCATTTATTTAAGCCAATTGTACTAATTGAGAGTCCCCGCTGAGTTGGACAGACCCAACTAGTATGATGTGTTTATCTGAATGCTCCCTATCACTCAAAGTTCACAAATTGTAAATACTTCGCGTTTGTGAAGGGGATAGTTTTTTCACTGAAGTAAACTCTTAAATTTTCTTTCTATTTTGTAGGATTTTTCTCATTCAAAGGACCAAATGGATCTTATTTCATAATAAGCCTCTGTTCAAAGTTAAATGAGCATTATAGTAGTGGAATGGACCTCATAAGAATATTGACAAGAGCAAGTAATCACATGGCTAAGGAGTTCACCTCCAAAACATACAGTCCTACATCAGGCAGGGGTGACCCAGCACTCCATGAGAAGAAACAGGTGCCTGTCATCGTCTCTAAATTGACTAAACTGGTCGTTTTCACTGCCAATTGATTGGCTTAATGAATATAAACATTGTCTCAAATTTGACAGAATTGAGCATCTTTACTACCAATTTATTGGCTTTATGAATTAGTATACATTGTCTCAAAAATTGACAGAGTGATCGTCTTCACTACCAATCAAGATTTAAGACACCACGTTGTTTTCCATTGGCGAGGAACTTAGTACTGATTGCGTTAATGCTTTTACCTTATAATGACCAGTGTTGTTAAAAAGTAAAAACTAGAAAATTTAGTCGGTCTTGAAATTTTTGTTCGAAGATGACTCTCTGCCGTCTCGATAATTTTGAAAAGTTTTGTCACCTTATGTGGTCATGTCGGATTCATGCATTTGAAAATATTAATTAATTTTTAAGTGACGAAATTTTCAAGTTTTTTTCCGTAATGACTGTGCCTTATTTGTTTAATGTAAACTCTGTATTCTAGTATGATTTTCATAAGTTATTCAAATTCGCCGGGGAGGATTGAAATCCATCTCCATTTCTCACCATTATGAATTGTATGTGCTTCTTTTCAAATCGCATTGTTTTATGTACAACCATGTAAAATGTAAAATGTTTTTAACCATATAAAGACACATTGAGGTCGTATTATGGCAATAATTCACAGGTATCTCGCCAGCAAAGTTTTTTTTTCACAAACGAAGATTGTCTGTACAAAAATTTTTAAAATATGTAAATGATATTAAGATAATGAAATTGTACCAATGGTTTCACAAGACGTTGTAAATTACTGAAGAAAGAGCAAACAATTATTCGTCAAAGTGTCATTTGAACGGAAATACAGTGTATAAGTTTTCCGTTTCGTTTCTTACTTTCATTTTTGCGGCTGCAAGCCTATCAGGTCATGCTTGTCTATTTGTCAGTCTGTTTGTCATCTCTCTCTCTCTCTCTCATAATACATACATTTTTGATATCAAGTAACCCATTTTCCTCTCTAATTATCGCTCTTGTTAAATGCACAACGGCTTTGTAGGCCAATTATTACCGCGTACCCCATCTATATACAAAAATGTATATAGTACATAATCGGTTATCAGGGCCTATAATGAAGTACCCCACTTTACATTTGTTTCTTGAACGAAATTCGCGTGCACAAAGACATTCACCTAAATGTGGTGACTAATCTTTCAAATAAAAATCCTGTTGCTATGAAGGCATATCTCAAAAGGATTTGAAGCAACAAACGCTAAACAAAGTGTTGCTGAATATTATCGCAAGATGTCGGAATCGCCGCACGAAAACGCAAATGAAATGGAAATGGACTTTAACAGCAAGACCAATCTTACAGATCCTAAACAAGAGGGCAGAAGATGGACTTCGAGAGAGAAATGTTTGGGTTTTGTCCTCTTTTTCTGCGCTGTTGCCGTAGTTTTGTTGGTCTTGATTTTGGTCCTTGGGGTATACGGTTTGGTTCACATATTCCCCTCGAGTTTAACTTCGCAGACGACATTGCCACCCAGAGCCGCGTCCCTTTATTGTATGACACAAGAATGTATTAAATCTGCGGATGCAATTTTGTCAAACATCAACGTCTCTGTCGATCCCTGCGAAGATTTTTTTCGTTTTTCGTGTGATGGATGGTTAAAGAAGAACCCAATTCCGGACTCCCAAAGCAGGTAGGCTTGGCGTTACATACTTAATAAAGACCAGTTGGTGTAGAGAATTTTGTTGCACGTTTCATTATTTTTTCAATTGTATTTTGGTTAACATAGATGTAGTAATGAATTTTACAACTACACGCACATGGGTGCAGAAGTCTCGGCATTCTTTGTTCGTGAACTTTTATACGCGTACATGTGGCAACGTGAAAAATGAAAAGGAAGTACCGTAGCGAACAATTTATTTTGAGCCAAGATTAGAAAGTAGTGGTTTACTAAAATGCGAGAGTTGCACTAGTTTTACAAATAAAAAATGTTTTATATGTGCCATTAATTCTTTCCTTTATTCTTATCATCCCTTTGCAGTAATAACCCGCCCCCTACCAGAACCACAGATTGATTTTTCATCAGATATTTACAGATGAAAATGTACCCTACATCATAAAATATGTGATCCTGGTAGTGGGTAGTAATGACGTGCTGTGTAAAGAGCGACCCCAACTGAACTCTTCACTAGAAACACATAGATACTAAATTGATATTGCCAAGACATGCAACATTGACGTTTCACATGGTATTTTTTTCCTATTTATTTCCTTATTTTGCACGCATAGCTGTTTTACAAATCAGCATGAAGAGCTCACTATCGCCCTCTATTGGCCTTTAACGTGTCGCTCTGAAAACACTTACGGTGTTTAGTTTTTGAATTGATATAGCCAAGACATTACATTGACATTGCAAATATGGTAATACCAGGGGCAGATCCAGGTTTATTTTCTGGGACCCCCCCCCCCCCCCCCCTTTGGCTTGGGGTTCAGGGCCCGCTGAAGGGCCCCGATAATTTTTGGTATTTTAGAGGGCGAACGGTGCCATTTTGTACGGTTTAGCACTATGATTCAGCTGGTCGAATTTCAAATTTCAAGAGGGGACTTTTTTTCAGAAAGCGAAAGGGGTCAGGATCCCCCTAACCCCCCCCCCCCACCCCCCACCCCCCAAATCCGCCACGGAATACTAGGTTTGCTGAAACTGTCTTTTTACAAGCACAACCATCCTTTATTCATTTATTATTATGACATCAAACAATTACCCCTTAATAAGAGCGTTATTACTACAGAAAGCGATTACATTGATTATTATTTTGAATTTTTGAACTTAAATTACCTCAAGGAACATTTCAGGTAAAATATCAATTTTTTCACGAAAGATTACAAATTTTGAAAAGGGATTGTCGGTCCAGCCGCTCCCCATGTTGTTAGGCGGAGTTGGAAACAAAAATATCACCACATCTCCGCTTAGCCAAGAGGAAAAAATACATTATGCGGTTTTATGCGTCATTATTCGGTCCATCACTATCTTGAGATCTTTTTTTTTTCTTCTTTTTTTAATACTAAAATCGCATATATTAGCAGACAACGTAAAATCGACTTTTCGATGTTAGTAAAAGAACGTTTCAGGAAGGATTTGACCTACATGTACCTTGATTGTCACCACTCAAAGTAAAAGCTTTGTTTATTCAAGATAATTATAATCTGAATTTGCGCCTGTATATTAGCATACAGCGTACATATATGTGTGCATCTATTATCAGGAATATTGTCTTAAAGAAGGAATCCTTGTTTTTCCACCCTGGCCAGAGTAGGGAGACAATTGCAAAACGAAAGCCATCTCGAGGCGGCTTTTTTGGATGCAGCTAGGACCCAAATAGACTCCGAAAATGAAGTTAAACATGCACTAAGTGTTAGTTCTGTTGTCATTTATGTTACGGTATAAACAATAAATTTTAGTCATGGTAATCACAATATAGTCGCTATCTTTTCAGTTGGAACAACTTTAATTTATTCGACAAGAAAATCAAGTCGAAAAACAAAGAGATTTTACAGAAACCTTCAGAGTGGAATTCTAGCGAATCATTTGAGAGGAAGGTTAAGTTACTTTATAAAAGTTGCATGGACACGAATGCCATCGACCGAGTCGGTGCGAAACCGCTTCTTGAAGCCATCAGCAAAGCAGGTGGTTGGAAAACCATAGGTAATTCTTCTCAAATCATTTCCCCATTTTATACACCTAGCCGTTACAATAATGATAGAATTTGCCTCTCTCATAAAACTGCTTCTTCAAAATTGATGAGATTTGTATAGATTTACGGTTTAGGCTCATAAATAGAGAGTTGTAGAATGTCGTTTATTTTAAAGGTACGTGGTATCAAAGCAATTGGAGTTTACGGGACAGTGTGACCACCCTCCTGTACGATTATTTCGTTCAGTCCTTCGTTGGGATAAGCATGAAGGCAGACGATAAGTCACCAGATGTCAATATTATAATGGTAAGCTTGGAGACAAACCACATGCAATTAAGAATTGTAGCTTAGTGTACATGGCTACTTGCGCACTTTATAAATAAATAAATAAATTTATTTATTTATTTATTTATTTATTTATTTATTTATACAATGTAATATTGCTCACTGTTGACACTAAATGTCTATTACTGGAAAGCTTTAGCTATGTTAGCAATTATTTTTACAACAAAAAGGTATTTAAATTGCACTAAATTATGGACATGCAGGTTAAATCGAACGTCTCCTGTCAAGAAACGTGCCATACCGAAAGAATAGCGAGTCAAGGTGATTGATAACTAGCTTGTCGAATTCAAGCGTGTTGTCATCGCAATGGTGGCCTTTTGGAACACGTGCTATAAAATGCACCCTTTAAGCTAGGTGCATTAAATTAATGTTTTTACCATTGTTACTCTATCAGCTTCCAGGATTTTTTCAGTGTTTATATAATTACTTGCAGATCCAATAATTATTTTTCACATAACTTTCTTCTCTACTACAGACTGAGAATGGACTTGTAACATGACCCAGAACCAANATGATTTTTTGCCCTTTTGGCCGCCCATAGTCCCCGCTGAGTTGGACAGACCCAACTAGTATGATGTGTTTATCTGAATGCTCCCTATGCTCAAAGTTCACAAATTGTAAATACTATATAGGTATATATATATATTATTTTCAGTAATTCTTATCCAAATTTTAAGGATATATTTTAAGTTTCAGCAAAGATGAAGGGAAAGAAGGCCACTATAGTAGGCCATGCAGCTATAGTAGTGAAACTTTCATTATCAGCTGGTGCAACAGTTTGAAGAACTCAATTGTTTACTTTTACGAGTTTGTGAAGGGGATAGTTTTTTCACTGAAGTAAACTGTTAAATTTTCTTTCTCTTTTGTAGGATATTTCTCATTCAAAGGACCACATGGATCTTATTTCATAATAAGCCTCTGTTCAAAGTTGAATGAGCATTATAGTAGTGGAATGGATCTCATAAGAATATTGACAAGAGCAAGTAATCACATGGCTAAGGAGTTCACCTCCAAAACATACAGTCCTACATCAGGCATGGGTAACCCAGCACTCCATGAGAAGAAACAGGTGCCTGTCATCGTCTCTAAATTGACTAAACTGGTCGTCTTCACTGCCAATTGATTGGCTTAATGAATATAAACATTGTCTCAAATTTGACAGAATTGAGCATCTTCACTACCAATTTATTGGCTTTATGAATTAGTATACATTGTCTCAAAAATTGACAGAGTGATCGTCTTCACTACCAATCAAGATTTGAGACACCACGTCGTTTTCCATTGGCGAGGAACTATGTACTGATTGCGTTTTTGCTTTTACCTTATAATGACCAGTATTGTTAAAAATTAAAAACTAGAAAATTTAGTCGGTCTTGAAATTTTTGTTCGAAGATTACTCTCTGCCGTCTCGATAATTTTGAAAAGTTTTGTCACCTTATGTGGTCATGTCGGATTCATGCATTTGAAAATATTAATTAATTTTTAAGTGACGAAATTTTCAAGTTTTTTTCCGTAATGACTGTGCCTTATTTGTTTAATGTAAACTCTGTATTCTAGTATGATTTTCATAAGTTATTCAAATTCGCCGGGGAGGATTGAAATCCATCTCCATTTCTCACCATTATGAATTGTATGTGCTTCTTTTCAAATCGCATTGTTTTATGTACAACCATGTAAAATGTAAAATGTTTTTAACCATATAAAGACACATTGAGGTCGTATTATGGCAATAATTCACAGGTATCTCGCCAGCAAAGTTTTTTTTTCACAAACGAAGATTGTCTGTACAAAAATTTAATATGTAAATGATATTAAGATAATGAAATTGTACCAATGGTTTCACAAGACGTTGTAAATTACTGAAGAAAGAGCAAACAATTATTCGTCAAAGTGTCATTTGAACGGAAATACAGTGTATAAGTTTTCCGTTTCGTTTCTTACTTTCATTTTTGCGGCTGCAAGCCTATCAGGTCATGCTTGTCTATTTGTCAGTCTGTTTGTCATCTCTCTCTCTCTCTCTCTCATAATACATACATTTTTGATATCAAGTAACCCATTTTCCTCTCTAATTATCGCTCTTGTTAAATGCACAACGGCTTTGTAGGCCAATTATTACCGCGTACCCCATCTATATACAAAAATGTATATAGTACATAATCGGTTATCAGGACCTATAATGAAGTACCCCACTTTACATTTGTTTCTTGAACGAAATTCGCGTGCACAAAGACATTCACCTAAATGTGGTGACTAATCTTTCAAATAAAAATCCTGTTGCTATGAAGGCATATCTCAAAAGGATTTGAAGCAACAAACGCTAAACAAAGTGTTGCTGAATATTATCGCAAGATGTCGGAATCGCCGCACGAAAACGCAAATGAAATGGAAATGGATTTTAACAGCAAGACCAATCTTACAGAACCTAAACAAGAGGGCAGAAGATGGACTTCGAGAGAGAAATGTTTGGGTTTTGTCCTCTTTTTCTGCGCTGTTGCCGTAGTTTTGTTGGTCTTGATTTTGGTCCTTGGGGTATACGGTTTGGTTCACATATTCCCCTCGAGTTTAACTTCGCAGACGACATTGCCACCCAGAGCCGCGTCCCTTTATTGTATGACACAAGAATGTATTAAATCTGCGGATGCAATTTTGTCAAACATCAACGTCTCTGTCGATCCCTGCGAAGATTTTTTTCGTTTTTCGTGTGATGGATGGTTAAAGAAGAACCCAATTCCGGACTCCCAAAGCAGGTAGGCTTGGCGTTACATTCTTAATAAAGACCAGTTGGTGTAGAGAATTTTGTTGCACGTTTCATTATTTTTTCAATTGTATTTTGGTTAACATAGATGTAGTAATGAATTTTACAACTACACGCACATGGGTGCAGAAGTCTCGGCATTCTTTGTTCGTGAACTTTTATACGTGTACATGTGGCAACGTGAAAAATGAAAAGGAAGTACCGTAGTGAACAATTTATTTTGAGCCAAGATTAGAAAGTAGTGGTTTACTAAAATGCGAGAGTTGCACTAGTTTTACAAATAAAAAATGTTTTATATGTGCCATTAATTCTTTCCTTTATTCTTATCATCCCTTTGCAGTAATAACTCGCCCCCTACCAGAACCACAGATTGATTTTTCATCAGATATTCACAGATTAAAATGTACCCTACATCATAAAATATGTGATCCTGGTAGTGGGTAGTAATGACGTGCTTTGTAAAGAGCGACCCCAACTGAACTCTTCACTAGAAACACATAGATACTAAATTGATATTGCCAAGACATGCAACATTGACGTTTCATATGGTATTTTTTTCCTATTTATTTCCTTATTTTGCATGCATAGCTGTTTTACAAATCAGCATGAAGAACTCACTATCGCCCTCTACTGACCTTTAACATGTCGCTCTGAAAACATTTACGGTGTTTAGTTTTTGAATTGATATAGCCAAGACATTACATTGACATTGCAAATATGGTAATACCAGGGGCAGATCCAGGATTATTTGAAGGGAGGGGGAGGGGCAGACTCCCCCACCCCTCCCCCTTTGGCTTGGGGTTCAGGGCCCGCTGAAGGGCCCCGATAATTTTTGGTATTTTAGAGAGCGAACGGTGCCATTTTGTACGGTTTAGCACTATCATTCAGCTAGTCGAATTTCAAATTTCAAAAGGGGACTAATTCTGTGTACCCTGAGCGTCAGAGCAACGTAAAAGCTAGCTTGCTAAATATACCTTGTGGTGGAGTCGCTTTGGGTTATATATGAAATCAAGATCGAGCTGGCAATACCGGAATCTAGAACCTAGGGTAATTCTGTGTAATTTTTTTCAGAAATCGAAGGGGGTCAGGATTCCCCTGACCCCCCCCCCCCCCCAAATCCGCCACGGAATACTAGGTTTGCTGAAACTGTCTTTTTACAAGCACAACCATCCTTTATTCATTTATTATATTATGACGTCAAACAATTTCCCCTCCATAAGAGCGTTATCACTTCAGAAAGCGATTACATTGATTATTATTTTGAATTTTTGAACTTAAATTACTTCAAGGGACATTTCAGGTAAAAGGTCAATTTTTAATGTATATTCTCACGAAAGATTACAAATTTAGAAAAGGGATTGTCGGTCCAGCCGCTCCCCATGTGGTTAGGCGGAGTTGGAAACAAAAATATCACCACATCTCTCTACTCCGCTTAGCCAAGAGGAAAAATACATTATGCGGTTTTATGCGGCATTATTCGGTCCATCCCTATCTTGAGATTTTATTATTATTTTTTTTTTTCTACTAATATCGCATGTAATAGCGGACAACGTAATATCAACTTTTCGATGTTAGGATAAGAGCGCCTCAGGAAGGATTGGCCAATAATATGTTTTGACGTACCTTGATTGTCACCACTGAGAGTAAAATCTTTGTCTTTTCAGGATAGTTACAATTTGAATTTGCGCCTGCATATCAGCATATAGCGTGCATATACCATCTTTGTTTTTTCCTCCCTGGACAGAGTAGCAAGACAATTGCAAAACAAAAGCCATCTCGAGCCGACTTTTTATTGGCTGAAGCTAGGACCCAAACAGACTCCGAAAATGAAGTGAAACATGCACTAAGTGTTAGTTCTGTTATATGTTACGGTATAAACAATTAATTTTAGCATGATAATCACAATATAGTTGCTATCTTTTCAGTTGGAACAACTTTAATTTATTTGACAAGAAAATCAAGTCGAAAAACAAAGAGATTTTACAGAAACCTTCGGAGCGGAATTCTAGCGAATCATTTGAGAGGAAAGTTAAGTTACTTTATCTAAGTTGCATGGACACGAATGCCATCGACCGAGTCGGTGCGAAACCGCTTCTTGAAGCCATCAGCAAGGCAGGTGGTTGGAAAACCATAGGTAATTCTTCTCAAATCATTTTCCCATTTTATACACCTATAGCCGTTACAATAATGATAGAATTTGCCTCTCTCATAAAACCGCTTCTTTGATGAGATTTGTAGATTTACGGTTTAGGCTCATAAATAGAGAGTTGAAGAATGTCGTTTATTTTAAAGGTACTTGGGATCAAAGCAATTGGAGTTTACGGGACAGTGTGACCACCCTCCTGTACGATTATTTCGTTCAGTCCTTCGTTGGAATAAGCATGAAGGCAGACGACAAGTCACCAGATGTCAATATTATAATGGTAAGCTTCGAGACATACAACATACAATTAAGAATTGTAATAAAGTAAACATGCTCAGTTGCACACTTTATCTATTTATTTATTTATTTATTTATACACTCGTGTGTAATGTTGCTCATTGTTGATACTAAATGTCTATTACTGGAAAGCGTTTCAGCTTTAGATATGTTAACATTTATCCCTACAACAAAAAGGCATTTAAATCACACAAAATTATGGACATGCAGGTTAAATCGAACGTCTCCTGTCAAGAAACGTGACATACCGAAAGAATAGTAAGTCAAGGTGATTGATAACTTTGCTCGTCGAATTCAAGCGTGTCGTCAGCGCAATGGCGGCCTTTTGGAACACGTGCTATAAAATGCACCCTTTAAGCTAGATGCATTAAATCAATGCTTTTACCATTGTTTCTCTATCAGCTTCAAGGATTTTTTTCAGTGTTCATATAATTACCTGCAGATCCAATAATTATTTTTCATATAACTTTCTTCTCTACTACAGACTGAGAATGGACTTGTAACATGACCCAGAGCCAATTAAGGCATAGAAGGTTTTCTGCATCGTGTCCTTCCCTGATCAGAGAAGACAAATGAACAAGTTGTTCCCTCTCTAGCGGGAAACATAAAACCAAACGATTTTGGTTATTTTTGTACTTTCAGATCAATCAAAAGAGGCTCGGAATGAGAGACAGAGAGTATTACTTCGAAAATGAAACCGAAAGTAAGTTCATAAAGGGTTACAAGACCTACATGACGACACTGGCTGAACTGCTGGGCGCAACGAAGGAAAACGCCACTGATTTTGCCAACGAGGTGTTCGACTTTGAAAGGGAATTGGCAAACGTGAGTCACTTAAGTAATGTGCATGTGCCAACTTAATGGATATTGAACCCCGAGTTTTAAAGGTGAAAAGCCTTTTTAGAACACCTGCTGTTGGTAGAGGCGTTTCCAATGACATCTGAAACTCAGGGTGAGCTATGGCAAAACAGAGAAGATGTTTAAGTTAAAGGTTTACTAAATGGATGGAAATATAAGGGGTGTCAAATTACAGATGATTCAATATGGCATCAAGAACAATATTTTTTGTCTTTTTCATTTTTTATTTCCAAATTAAGTTAAACGAGTAAATATTGAATTGAAACTTATTTTCAGATTTTTAAAGTTTTTCAATGTGCCATACTTCTTATTGTCAGTGCTCAGAATGGTGTAACTTTTTTAATTTTAGATTTCGTTTCCGTCTGATGCCCCAGAAAATTTGGATCCTAGTCTTCGATATAACAAAATTACTGTGGAAGACCTTCACAGTCTTCTTCCTCAGGTAACTCCGGTGCCAAACATAAAATATGAAAACGTAAAGTGAATATGCAATGCTGTCCGATAGAGTGCTCGTTTGACGTAACGATATGCATGTACATATATTAACGTTATTCGCAGAACTAGGACAAGACTATCGTCCACTTTTTTAAAGACCAAAAGCCTTCATGCTGTTGGAATTTTCAGTGAGTAGGTTACTTCTTATCAGTTACGACTCCTCCCATATATTTGTGAACTCAATCTGCTTTTAAAATGATAAAAGTATCATTATTATTTCAGAATATATCACACACGTATCATATCAACCTCAAGAAAATTTTATTATGAAAACCATTTGTTTATTCATTTAATTATTTATATATCTATTTATTTATTTATCATAGTTAGTAAGTTTTTCATTCTTATTTATTTACTTCATTTATTTATAAGTTATCACTGTTTATCCACTACTGATTATTTTATCAGTTTAATGTATTTTATTCATTCATCTTTTTTTCATTCATACAAATATATTTATTTATCACTATTTCGGACATCCTTTATTTTTGTGTTGTTAATTTAATTATACGATTATTCATTTAAATTTTTCTCGATGATGTTGATGTCGCCCATTGTTGCTCATAGTTGATACATGTGTTGATGATGGGGTGTATATTGTGTATATTGTGTTCAAACACGTGTCATTGAATGGGGTGTATATTGTGTATATTGTGTTCAAACACGTGTCCAATACATTCTTTGTTGTGCAGATCAACTGGACCCAGATCCTGGCCACAATAGACGTGGAGGTTGACCGCCGTACTGCTGTTATAGTATTCAATAAAGAATACATGACGAAACTTTCAGCACTGATTGACAGGACGGATTCAAGGTAGTTATTGATGGAGACTTGAATATAAGTAATGGATTTAGTCTATGATTAATGATAAACACTTAGTTTCCATTTGCTTTCAGTAGCATGGAATCAATTATCTGTCTTACATATGGATTACTGAAATGTCTGAACTTATTTCATTTTGAACTTTGGAAACAGATATGTCCTGTTATCTGACCGTCATACGTATGGAGATGAAGTCGCATTTTATCCTATGAAGTCGATTTGACAGTAAAATCAGAGCATTTATACCATGAAGTGGTAATATACCATGAAGTATCTTAACATACGTACTTATTTAGGTTATTTTATTCGTCCTATAAAACAAGTACTAGTTCGACAACAAATTTTTCTTTTTTAAGTAAAGCATTGACGCTATTTTTACTTAGCAAAGTTTGAAAGTATACACGCACAACCAATGCGATATTGACGAAGTGAAACGAAAACGATCGCTCCTCGATTTCGGCGGTGCAGGAACGGACGCGCCAAAGAAACCCTCTGCTATCCAAAAGTCATCTTTGTTTGGATCAAATACGTGTTAAATTATGTAATCATCGCCATACATTAGCTTCAGATCAAAACTTTGTTGGCAGCAAATAAAATGGTTACCTGAATTCCATCCAACTGAAAGAGAAAAAAAGCCAAACCGCTTAATGGAATAATTGATCTATGTAGCACAGAGGCAAAAAACTAACCGTTTATTTTCGGCTAATTCTGTTGCGATCTTTAACCTTTGTAACAGCATGATTTTCACTTTTTTTCAGCATCCTCAGCCAATACCTCGTTTGGGCTTTGGTGCAAAAGCACGCGGTAACTTTGTCAAAGGAATTTGAAAAGGCGAGAGACGAATTCAGGAGAACATTTTATGGTAATTCTTATATTTTATATGGGTGTATGTTTTAAAAGTCTTTTCACTAGGACAATACACTTTTCTGTAATTTTTAGTACGAACATGTGCTTTTGTGACTATTGTAGTTTGTAGTTTAAACTCTTAGGTTTTGACGAAAAATTGCACGTGTTTCGTCTTCGAACATTTAGCTAGTCATATGTTCCTAGACTCAAGGAAAGATTCATCAAAAGTCATTATTAAAATTCACCCAGAATTTAACAATTAAAAAAAACAACAATATTATTGAAAACCAATCTTTTTTTTTTTTTTTTCAAAATAGGGGCTGGTCCGAAAGAGCGTTGGGAGAAATGTGTGACGTACGTTGGTAATATGATGGGCGATGGGTTATCCTCACTGTATATCAGGAAGCACTTTTCTAAGGAATCCAAGGAAGAGGTAAGAAATTCAAGATTCGAAGATGTCTGTGAACACACACACACACACACACACACACATTTGATACACCATGGAAATCGGTTCGTTTATATATTTTGCAATTATTGGCAAATACTTTAACTTATGTTGTGACATAAGAAATGTTTGAGCGAAACAGACAGCAAATACAACTAAGAGCATTAAACTCATTTGTTTATCACAGATAATAGACATGATAAAGGATATTTTGCAAGTGTACGAGGAACGCATTGACCAACTGACATTCATGGACGATCCTACCAAGAAAAACGCCAAAGCAAAGGTAGGACTTAAAAACTGCAGAACATGACTTCGCATCCTTGATAAAATCACTGCCACAGCTTCAAAATGTTGGTAAACTTGAAATGAAAATTCAAGCAATGATTATTGCCTTTGATGTGGCCTAATCATACTTGAAGAAAAGTTGCTCTGGGAACTTTTACATCTGTGGACTTTTTTAAGCTTTAGGAAACGAAATGCACATCACTAGCAGAAGTCATTTTACCTTCTGCTATTTCTGAGTCTTTCATGCGCATAATTAAGCTAACTTTTTTATTTGTTAACATTTAGTACTCAATAAGCTATTACTATATAACCATTACAGGGGGGATCCAGGATTATTTGAAGGGGCGTCCGGTTTTTAGGAACGACAGGCCGCGGATGAAGTTTAAACCGTGGCTACTGTTATTTAAATTCGACAATTTTAAGACAAAATAATCACTCTGTTATTGATTGCATTTCTACTTAAACTGCGTTGCAATAAAAAATTGCACTCGTTAAAAGTAATAACTATCATTATATTTTGGGGTAAAGTACGGGAAATATATGTATGGTAACTTTGAGCACAATAACCACAGTAACATTTTCATAATTCCAGCTGGAGGCCATACAGTACAAAAAGATCGGGTTTCCAGACTTCATGCTCAACGACACTCACATGGATCTTAGATACAGACAAGTAGGTTGTGTATCTTTAAACACATTTATGCTGGCTTATGGTAAAATTATAAGTAAGGGAGACAACTTCGATTGAGCTGGTGAAAAATAGGCCCATTTATTATCGACATTAAAGTGTTATTAAATATTATAATAAGCAATAAGTGAATGCAGCAACCAGATAACTTTACGCAACATCTCAGAATTACAGAATTCTGATACACAAAAACATATATTCATTATCATATCTATAATGTAATAATTTAACCTATACCACAAATTAAACAATAAGTTGGGTTAACTATGGCCACCACAGCATATGGGTGCTATGCCCCTCGTTAAGTTAATGTTTGTTAAATCCATATTGGAAACGTGCATTTTCAACTATGACTCTACACTGTGGCGGTAAATTAATTTTTATTTCTCTAAAAGATAATTCTTGTGTGTCCGTGTATTTTTAACCAAACCCCTTTCAATTTTCAGTATGAAATCAAATGCTCCGACTGCCATTTTCAAAATAAAATTGACGCCTTCCGTGGAGCACGTGCTTATCAGCAAGAGGAGTTCAAGAAACCAGTTGATAAAGAAAAGTGAGTCTCACGCTGCCTTAAACGATTAATCAAGTATTTATAATAGGCCTATTAGATCGTATTGCTTAAACTTTTTTGTCCCTTTAAGAATTTTGAGGCATTTATAAAGAGATGGTTATTTGTCTTTTTATCTCTTTGTAAGTTTGAATACTTTTGTAGGATTCAAGATACATGTAGCTAAATGCGATTCAGTTGTGTAGGTGGTGTCGCACATGCACGTATACGCGTATATGTATTTCTATCGTGTGATTTTCTTGTCTTTATAGATGGTTTTTAAAGCCCATTGATGTGAACGCCTACTATAGCTCAAAGCATAATGAAATGGGTTTGTATCGAATATGAAAATAACATTCTGCTTGATGAAGTAGTCAGCATCCGCGAGTTTCGTTCCATCAAGTATCGCAATTGTTATACACGACGAATATTTCTAACAGTGCCTATAGTGCCCTGTGCGTGCGTTTTACGCCAGGCCAAGAAAATGAAAATTAGCTCGGTAGAAAAAAGCCCGCATGCTTATTTCAATGAATGGGTTACACTATGATCCCTTTTTAAGACCTTCTGGTATTTTTCAAAAATGAGAGGATATACATTATGGATAACCGGACACATCTTTTCTTCACTTAATTGTGTGATATATACGAATATTAAATCGAAATAGCAACTTTATGTAGACACTTTAAATTATTTTTATCATAATTATTATTTTTTTGTAAGATTGTGTCGCCATATATATATATATATTCCTTTTCTTTTATTCGTGTGATTGATGACAGACGTTCTTTTATCAACGAAGACCACGCAAATAGTCCTTAAATCGGCGAAGAAATTAAATATCAAGACCCTTTATTTTGTTTTCAGTTTTCCTTGCCGGTATTTTGCAGCCACCATTTTATGCTCCTTATTTCACAAGGTAGGCTTCCCAGCTCCACACTTCAGTTCTGTTCAAATTTCTCTGCAAACTGTCCTGTTAATATTTAATACATAATTCTCAGTACCAGCAAAATTTTACTAGAACTGCCAATTACAAATCGCTGTGTAATTACCTCTCACCGAACAGCCGAATTTAACAATTTATTAACGCTTGTAACACTTTCAGTTTATATCCTTGGTATCTTGGGCCGCTTTCATAAATGAACTTAAGGTGGAAAGATGGTGTTAACAAACCCAATATTCTCTTTAAATGGAGTGATACTGATACTGTGGACAATTTAGATGTTCATCTTAGGATAGGATGAATATTTGGTCTTGAGGTCTTGTATATTATTATTAGATTTTAAGTCAAGTATGCTGACCGCACTTTTTCAGAGCAATGAAGTATGCGAGCATTGGAATGATTGTAGGACATGAAATAACGCATGCTTTTGATAAAAGAGGTAGGGAGCATCACAACAAGTTTTAAAAACTAGTTTCGATATGTTTTATGCTGTAGGAAATAAGCCTAATTTCTCACAGAAATTATTGTTTTTAATTCATGACCCAATCATTCATTTATTTAGTGTTTATTATCGTACAATATTATTTTCAGTGATAAAATATAAAAAAATTGCTCTATCTAAGACTAAGAAGAAACGATTCTTTCTGAATTTGCCACAATTCGACCTTTTTTTAAAGGCTCTCAATACGACAAGGATGGTAAATTGCAAAACTGGTGGACCAATGAATCTCGAAAAGCATATGAAGAAGCCACAGAATGCTTTTCCACTTATTTTTCCAAATACGAAGTCTCCGGATTCCAGGTAAAAAGCTTGACAGTTGACTGCAAAACCAATTTCTACATAACCAATTTCACAATAATTGTTGGTTTTTGATTTCTAGTTCAAAATGCTTGGTCTGCTTCAGTTCAGGGTAAAGCTGCAAGCAATAGTCCACTTAAATAAAGTGATCATTGGTCTTAAAATGTTCTCATTGCTTTCTTCTTATAAAACGTTCAATACTTCATTTGCGAGTACTGTTATATACGTGTATTGACTAAACCTAAGTAAAACTAGACTACCTTGAAAAAACTGAGGTCCTAAAGTACTTCTGAGAAACGGTACTCAGTAATCCAAAGACCCATCGTGTATGATAGCAGATAAGAATTTTAATGCTTTCTAAAAATTCTGACCATCAGTTATTACATAATGATGTATAAACCAGTCATTTATTCAGGTTTTTGTCCATACACATAGGTAAATGGGGAACTGACTGTAACAGAAAACACCGCAGACACCGTTGGACTGCGTGTTGGTTATGCGGTGAGTGTTTAACGTGTTTATATTATATTATATTATATTATATTATATTATATTATATTATATTATATTATGCAGTGACAAATATCGCGAGCAAAACTTGATTCGATTACTGGGGGTAAGGGAAGACATGGGGAATTTTTCAGATAATAGGAGTTTAGAACGTTGTTTTTTTGCACTAGCATTTGTTTCTGCATTAATATTTGACACATCATTATATATATCTTACTTCAAAGTACTGTTTCGGAAAAATATCAATCCTTGTCTTTGCTTCCATAATCTTTTTCCTGTAAGTTCAAAACCGACAATGAAATCTTCAGGATGATTTACATGTATATTCACTGTTTATAATACATTATTTTACGAGCATCGTGTATTGTTTCAGGCCTACAAGACGTGGGTCTCCAGAAACGGCCCGGAGAAAATGCTGCCAGGAGTGAACAGAACCCCAGAGGAGTTGTTTTTCATAGCAAACTCAGCGGTAAGGCTATTCTGGTGCAGTTGTACACGCGTTAATAAGCTTTTGTAACACCTGATACTAACAAGGAACTAAATGTTTGAAAGAGAGGGGATCGAAAAAATGTTAAACGGATGGTAATTTCATATACACAAAAAAAAGATTAGGCTTATAAAGATCAGCTTTAATGTTTCTTAAGTAATTTACGGTTTGTGTGCACGTAGGTGTGCGTACATGCAGAAATGAGTTTAACCAGACTTGTGAGTTAAAAACCTGAAAACAACTGCGTTGATAAACATGCACAATTAGAATTGAACATTTTGTAAGATTTTATATTATTTCAGTTATGGTGCGGCCACACTAGGTTAGAGAGATTAAAGCTGAGCATCTTGAGCAGCGTACACGCCCCTCTCGCAGTGAGGTAAGCACTAGCATTCGCTACTCCTTCATTCTAAAACATTCTCCGCCATAGAGACTGACCTGGTATCGTTTTTAGACTGAAACTTAGTATTAGTAACCTAAAGGTAATGGCTATCCAGAATGGTGTGGTTCTAATTTTGTTCTGGTCTCAGGTCTATGGTTAAATCTTGCCTTGTATGGTCTCAGGTCTATGGTTTAATTTTGTCTTGTATGGTGTCATTTAATTTTTATTCTGTGGTATTTTACAGAGGACAAGGGCCCGCCTCTCAAACGCAGGGATTTGCCGAAACATACAAATGTGGTCTCGGCTCACCTATGACCCCTGCCAAGATTTGCAAGATTTTCTAGAACAACGGAGAACTTCTGGGATAACGGTCAAGCAGATATGAAACAGCTTGCAATGTTTAATTGGTAGAAATCCATGATAATCCATTCATAAATGGAAATATATGTCACCAGTGTAATAAATAATGAAAATGATAAAAATTCGATTCTGTTCAGAGCACTTTACAATAATATATAATATTAGATGCAAGCAATAGAGAGGGAAACGACTATTAGAACAAATTGATTTATAAGATGTAGAATCAAATGTCCGTTGTTTTATCAAGTTCATTAAAAGTTGATTAGTATGAGATACGCCTCATGATATAACTCATTATACTTTTTTATCTTCAGTTTTCATAACTTAAAGTAAAGTTAAGTAGGCTCAGTATAGATAGTGATTTTAAGATATTTGCATACACTGTATAATAAATTCCATGGTCATATAATGGTGCTAAACTAACTGGTTATTTTTCATGTAGAAATCTTCATGGTAAAGTGGAACTGGTTTTAGATAATATGCAATAAGGTTTGTCAGTCTAACAATTGTCTGTTATTTAAAACAAGGCAGCAAAGCTGTCAAATGTACAGACAAAAAACAGAAAAAAAAAGATGCAAAATAGGTCATTTTGTCAATTTTGATGCAATAATGTATGCTTATTATAGCACAGTCAGTCAACGCTAATTTATAATCATGCACAACAGGTAACATGGTCACTAACAGATGCANGTGTTGAAAAAATCTGTGTCTGTACATAAAAAGAATGATGTTAACTTTGTGTAAATGAAATATTTGTTTCGTTTGTGATAGATGAAATGCCACCTCCTAAGGTAGCAGGCCTAGTGGCAAGAAGACACAGTGACTGACAAAATTTTGGGGTCACCTTACTCTCTCAGCTAAACTCCCGTGCCTGCTGCCATCCCTCTCTTCCCAACCTTCTAGTGAAAGCACACGATTAAGTACTGGGATATCGTTTTATGACACCAGAGTTCATTTACATGGAAACAAACCTGCTCTCTATAAACTCTAGCTAAGATATATTTGTCTTTGGAATAAAAACTTTGTTTTGTGTACGATCATGTTGAGTTGATTAATACGTAAACAATGCCCGGCTTAGTCTATAGCCCTATTCAGAGCTTATGTTGATTTTCTGATTAATCCTCAATTTCAGTGTTTTTGCTGACGAGTTTCTATGTAATTTCGGATAAACATTACGAATATTACATGCCCCCTAAATTCGGTATCCTTTTTCGATATTTGGTAAGTACTTCAATCTTAAAATCTTGTAATTTTATAAATATGTTTTAAAAATACTTTTCAGACATTTATAATCTTGACTGTAAGGGCACATCTGTTTTAACTATATTTTTCTCATTTTCAGTCTGTCTTTCTCTCGTTCTCTCTTTTTCTCTCTCTCTCACAGTGTCCTGGAAAGGACTGAATGCAGAGCAGAAGATAAGTTGTATGTGGATAGTGCTAGTGCTGTTATTCCTACCGTTACTAGTGGTTATCATTTGTATACTGGCTGCGGTAGGGATTATTCCCGGAAGACAGCCAAACGGTATGTGGTATGATAAAGAAAAAAAAAGAGGAATACATGGATAAAAACAAATGAGAAATTTATTAAAATGGAAAAAACATGAGAACCTGTTTTACTGTATATTACTTTAGAGTAAAGTGACATTTTAGGCTTATTATCTTTTCCCCAGATAACCCAGTTGCGGTGAACCTGACAGGTATTGGCGTTGACAGGGCCACCTATGACGCCATATCCAGCAGCTGCAAGGGCCAGTGGAAGGTGCACTTCCTGGCCTATAACGCCTCAGAACCCGATATCAGCAGCACTGCCGCCCCGCCCACGCCTAGCGCAAATGGCACGGATCTGATCTGCTGCTACAATTTCACTGACCATTATAAAAATATGTCCATAGAATAACGACCGCTGATAATTGAAAAGGGAAACTGTACTTACAACGGCGAGTGTGAAGATTTAGTTTTCGAAGGCAAAATGTATCCGTGCTTTAGCGTGGCATCAGTTTTGTCAAACAGTATCGCTATCATAGTACGGGTTTTTGTTTTCATATCTTGGCTTGTAATAAATGCATATACTGGGTAGAATATTAATAAATGAAGTATTTTTATGTTTTGCATTGTAAATTATGATGAAAGTTAGAGGATTGTGTACTCTGTATGTTGTTGGCTTGATTGAATATTAGCGTTGCTGGATGTTCGTCTTTATATAATATTAAGCGTTCCAAAATCCCAAACTTCAAATACCGTTACAATTTCCATTTTTTTCGTTACATAGGCTCATACGTATAAAGGCTAAGCATTGTTTCGTGTTTCGAACAAAAAATATAAAATTAAGAAAATCTAACCCAGTGTAACTGGTCAATTCTTTCGTTACTTTTCAAGTTATAATTTTCATTACTTTGAAATGTGATTGTTGTCCTTGTAAATGAGGTGATTGTTTTAGGTATAACTTTTTTTAAAGAATAAGTGAGCCGAAAAAGGTAGAAATGAGCGTTTATTATCCGACTCTATGTTGAATGTAAAAAAGGACTGCGATGAATGAAAATAAAAGTGAACAAAGTAACGGAACAAAATTCTACAAAATATGTGTACAATGATGGCCTTCTGAAAACTAGTTACATGTATATTCGCGTAGCTCCTACTGTTTCGTCTTTAACTACCAGCACGATTATATACTCGCCACTCCTATTCCATTGCCATTTANACACGATTAAGTACTGGGATATCGTTTTATGACACCAGAGTTCATTTACATGGAAACAAACCTGCTCTCTATAAACTCTAGCTAAGATATATTTGTCTTTGGAATAAAAACTTTGTTTTGTGTACGATCATGTTGAGTTGATTAATACGTAAACAATGCCCGGCTTAGTCTATAGCCCTATTCAGAGCTTATGTTGATTTTCTGATTAATCCTCAATTTCAGTGTTTTTGCTGACGAGTTTCTATGTAATTTCGGATAAACATTACGAATATTACATGCCCCCTAAATTCGGTATCCTTTTTCGATATTTGGTAAGTACTTCAATCTTAAAATCTTGTAATTTTATAAATATGTTTTAAAAATACTTTTCAGACATTTATAATCTTGACTGTAAGGGCACATCTGTTTTAACTATATTTTTCTCATTTTCAGTCTGTCTTTCTCTCGTTCTCTCTTTTTCTCTCTCTCTCACAGTGTCCTGGAAAGGACTGAATGCAGAGCAGAAGATAAGTTGTATGTGGATAGTGCTAGTGCTGTTATTCCTACCGTTACTAGTGGTTATCATTTGTATACTGGCTGCGGTAGGGATTATTCCCGGAAGACAGCCAAACGGTATGTGGTATGATAAAGAAAAAAAAAAGAGGAATACATGGATAAAAACAAATGAGAAATTTATTAAAATGGAAAAAACATGAGAACCTGTTTTACTGTATATTACTTTAGAGTAAAGTGACATTTTAGGCTTATTATCTTTTCCCCAGATAACCCAGTTGCGGTGAACCTGACAGGTATTGGCGTTGACAGGGCCACCTATGACGCCATATCCAGCAGCTGCAAGGGCCAGTGGAAGGTGCACTTCCTGGCCTATAACGCCTCAGAACCCGATATCAGCAGCACTGCCGCCCCGCCCACGCCTAGCGCAAATGGCACGGATCTGATCTGCTGCTACAATTTCACTGACCATTATAAAAATATGTCCATAGAATAACGACCGCTGATAATTGAAAAGGGAAACTGTACTTACAACGGCGAGTGTGAAGATTTAGTTTTCGAAGGCAAAATGTATCCGTGCTTTAGCGTGGCATCAGTTTTGTCAAACAGTATCGCTATCATAGTACGGGTTTTTGTTTTCATATCTTGGCTTGTAATAAATGCATATACTGGGTAGAATATTAATAAATGAAGTATTTTTATGTTTTGCATTGTAAATTATGATGAAAGTTAGAGGATTGTGTACTCTGTATGTTGTTGGCTTGATTGAATATTAGCGTTGCTGGATGTTCGTCTTTATATAATATTAAGCGTTCCAAAATCCCAAACTTCAAATACCGTTACAATTTCCATTTTTTTCGTTACATAGGCTCATACGTATAAAGGCTAAGCATTGTTTCGTGTTTCGAACAAAAAATATAAAATTAAGAAAATCTAACCCAGTGTAACTGGTCAATTCTTTCGTTACTTTTCAAGTTATAATTTTCATTACTTTGAAATGTGATTGTTGTCCTTGTAAATGAGGTGATTGTTTTAGGTATAACTTTTTTTAAAGAATAAGTGAGCCGAAAAAGGTAGAAATGAGCGTTTATTATCCGACTCTATGTTGAATGTAAAAAAGGACTGCGATGAATGAAAATAAAAGTGAACAAAGTAACGGAACAAAATTCTACAAAATATGTGTACAATGATGGCCTTCTGAAAACTAGTTACATGTATATTCGCGTAGCTCCTACTGTTTCGTCTTTAACTACCAGCACGATTATATACTCGCCACTCCTATTCCATTGCCATTTATATATGACAGTGAGGAAGTTTAATGTTAGGATAATGAATATATGAACAGGATATACAATATTGGAAACAAGAAGACAGCATCTAATGCTTGCACTGCAATTTTGTTGCATGCCAAAGCCTAAACTCTAATTTAATCGTGATTTGGTTCCGATGTGACCTCACCAAGTCTAGTTCCCATTGATTTGTATAGGTAATCCACGTCCTAGATATAGACCCCCTGACTTCACGCTAACCCACACATTACATGTGCCTCAGTTTCGTCACACCTGACCCCCACCCGAGATACCAGATCAGAATTATAAAAGAAACAGCGGGCGGAGCTCAAGCGCTATCTTCGAAAACGCGAAACCAAGCAACAAAGAGGAGTTGGTCACTAGAATTTGGAGTTTTGAATAACGGCAGACTTTTTTTTAATATACAGAACACGTCTTTCAATAATATTCTCAATGTCATCCCGGCGGTTATTCAGAGCAGTAGGGCCTTTGTAGTTGTGTGTAATAAGACGACCATTTTACCAACGTTTAACCAATTTTATTAACTGGTTCAAAAATACGAAACTGATTTTGATGTTTTATTATTTGTCAATTCATTTTTGTTATAGTGTGAAGAAGATTGTTTTGTGCGTGTAATACGTATATTCTTTGATTTCACAAAAATGTATCTATCGACGCAGACGACTTCTGACCAATTATATGAGTTTTTGTGGCCCTGTAGCCCTGTGTAGGATCTGAGGAATTTTTTATTCTGACTGTGTGTTCACTGCATTAAGTTAATTTGTTTGACATATTGTTTGTAATAAACGCTAAAATCTCTTGAATTATCGTAAAAACTATCATTCTTATTTCGTTTCCTGGTTTAGCTAAGTTGCTTTAAACTGTTTCTTAAAATTTCACATATTCGCAAAAACTTTTATATTCGTTACTTTTAATTATGAGAGGCAAATGGCTTGTTTTCACGGGAGTTTTTATTTGTTTTTATTTGCAACCGTATTCATTTAGTAAAGACCTCTAAACAATAATTGTAAGACTGATATATTCGCCTTAAAGGAATGGTAAAGCGGTTAATTCAAGCCATCTAAGAAATTAATTTATAAATTTGTAAAAAAATAAATGAAATTAAATTGAATATACACCGTGACTGCATTGACGTATTTTCGATCAGTTGGGTTACGTTATTTTGCGAGTTGTCACCAGTTGATTAAACTCATTTTTGTTGACAAAGTTAAAATTGTCGATAATGGTCAAATCCTTATTTCCACCATTTCAATGCCTGACCCCGATGTTCCCTTTATACCACCTAACAAGAACAAGGTTAAAGTTTGCACTCGGATATCGTTTTATGACATCTGAGTTGATTTGCATAGAAACAAACCTGCTTCCTATAAACTCTAGTTAAGATATATTTGTTTCGGGAATAAAAGCTCAGTTTTGTGTACGCTATATTGAGTTGATTAATACGTAAACAATTGACGGCTTAGTCTATAGCCCTATTGGAAGCTTATGTTGATTTTCTGATTAATCCGCGATTTCAGTGATTTTTGTTGGAAAGTTTCTATGTGATTTCGAATAAACACCACAAATATCAGATGCCCTCCAAACATTAGGTACTCTTCTACGATATTTGGTGAGTATTTTTTCTTTAAAATTTTATAATTTCAATGTGTTTGAAAGAAGTTTTAAACAAATTTTATGGTTGACTGTTATGACCAATAAGTTTTCAATATATTAGTTAGTTCTCTCTCTCTCTCTCTCTCTCTCTCTCTCTCTCACACACACACACACACACACACAGTGTACGGTGTCTTTCAACAATCTCATTTCAATATGTAGTCTAACAAGCCAGCCAAATGCCTATCGCAAGCGGAGCCTTGGGCAAACCGAACAGTTACTACAATCAGCCAGAACGCAATCGCTTCAAGGGCGATAGAAACATCCCCCAAGATGACTTAAAGAAAAGAAATTCAGACGCTCAAACCAAATCTAAACAGGCTACAACTTCAAGCGGCTCAAAAGTGAAAAAAGAAGGATGGAATAAAGGTGGAAAAAATAAAGGAAATAAGGGCAAAGATGGGAAGAAAGGAAAGGGAAAGTCGATCTTCAGCTTTTTTAGCAGATCTAGATCTTCGAAAGTAACCGTAAGTACTTTTACTCGATTCTTATAGGAAAAAGAGCGAGCCGTCAAAAAGAGTATTAAAGGTTTGATTACTTTCAACGCCTTCATCGACTACGGTAAAGAAAAACATGTTGATAAGGATTGTAAAAACGATGGGGCGCTGTTCGCATCTCAGATATGATTTACTTTGTCTCGCCCATTTCCTGCGTTTGAAATTAGTCGCCGTTATGTCCCATTATTTCAACTACTATTACACGTATACAGGTGGGTTTGAAAATAAAATCTGTATATTTCTGAGCTAAAAATGTGCTAGGACCACTAAATATTATTTTCACATTCGCCTTTAGCCTAATAAGAAAGGGAAAGAGTACAGACCTTTGCTGTGGTTTGTGAACTAATGTCTTGTTAGCGTCTATACATGTAGTAGTGACCGAAAAGGATACAGGCAACAATTTGCTTTATTGTTTAAGTAATAGGGACAATTCATTAGTGGCTTTATTTAAAAAAAGGGGCCTTGTTTGACCAAATCTCGAACAACCAATATTTTGTGTTGCCTGTTTTCATAGTATGAATAGGACACACGAAGGTTTGTGTCAGTCTGGGATGAAATAGACATGACATGGGATATTGTGATGTTGAAATACTTTTATTGTTTTTAGTTACTTCTGATGAATTCAAATGAGTCAGTCTGTGATAAATAAAAGTCCATGTTGTGATTTTTAAAACATTATTTAATTATTTATTTATCGTTTTTTCATTCATTCATCCTTTTCTTTCTTTCTTTCTTTATTTATTTATTTATTTTTGGCAGACGATCACTGTAACGAGCACCAGTGGCGCCACCACAGCAGCGGCGGTGGGAGGCGGAGGAGCCGCCGGGGAGGGATTGAGCGAAGAGGAGAAGAAGAAACGCAGAAGACGATGTTGTCTGTGGATATTGCTAGCGTTGTTATTGCTGCTGTTACTGGCGGCCATCATTATTGGTATACTGGCTGCGGTAGGGATCATTCCCGGTGGAAAATCAAGTAGGTTGTATTTCGCAAAAAATGAATATAATAAATTAATTCATACATAAACAAAAATATAATGGAACAAAGTGGCTGTAGTTTAGTTCAATTTAAATTTTCGAATGCTTAACTTCGAACGAGAAGCTAGAGGACGGAGGTATTGGAGCATGCGGTACAGACGGACAGAGAATAAAAACGTGTATACGGAAACGAAGCCTGTGCAATGCCCCAATTTTACTGATATTAATAAGTACATGTATAAATAGTAATCACCACCAAATCTCGTCATTTGTTTCTTCACCCACTCTCGAGAGTTCCTGAAAATTTCATCAAAATCCGTTCTTTTTGCATATTGTTGCTGACACAGACAAACTAAGGAGATAAGAGTCATAATTATATTTTTTCTAGATAATCCAGTTGCGGTGAACCTGACAGACACTGGTGTTGACAGGGTCACCTATGACGCTGTATCCAGCAGCTGTAAGGGACAGTGGAAGGTCCACTTCCTGGCCTATAACGCCTCAGAACCTGTTATCAACAGCACTGCCGCCCCGCCCACGCCTAGCGCAGATGGCACGGATCTTGTCTGCTGCTATAACTTCACTGACCATTATAAAAATATGTCCATAGAAGAACGCCCGCTGATAATTGAAAAGGGAAACTGTACTTACAACGGCGACTGTGAAGATTTAACTATCGAAGGCAAATTTTATCCATGTGTCAGCGTAGCATCGGTTTTGTCAAACAGTATCGTTGTTATGATATTCTCGTGTTTGCTCTCATATCTTTGCTTGATTTAAATGTATATAGTATGTCAATAGATAAAGACGTTTCTTCAGATATTTCGCATTGTATATTTGGAATTTAAAGTAAGAAGAACGTACACTTTTAAAGTTGTTGACTTGGTTGACGGGATGAAAAAATTATCGTTGCATATTCACCATTCTCTTTCTACACATGTATAAATCCTAAACCTTCAATATTTACCGTTGCAATTTTGATTTTTTTAGACATTTGTGTAGGCTACGGATTATTGTGTTTCTTATGATCTTACATTTAAAATATCTAATCCAATGCTCGACTGACCTGCCCTTTCCTTAGTTTAGTTTGTAAGTATTAATTTTCATTACTTTGGAGTTTGAATATAGTCCGTGTAAATACATGTATATGATTGTTTTGTGAATAACTTTGTTTTAAGAATAACGCAGATTCCAAGGATAGACACTGAAATTGATACTGCGTAATGAGGTGTTTTTATCTTTCCAAAAGCTTATCAGATAATCCATGGCATGGGGATATAGTTAATAGGCGTTTACAATGTAGCTGCAGGATTTGAACGCCGATAAGAATTTTAACGGAGTTGATAAACCATGCTTGATTGTGAAAATGCGATGTAGGAAAATAAAAACATACTAGGTAACTGAGTTAAACCCTACAAAATAAAAGCAGACTTATGACATTTTGTCAATTATTTACATATATTACCTAACACAAAATTTGCTGTCTAAAACTGCGTACATGTACACATGTGTGTTTTGTTTTTTCGTATTCAAATGTACATAAATGTTGGGATATGGATTTTCTTTTATTCTTAATTTTCATTTCAGACAAGTAAACAGAATACAAATTACAATATAATAAGTCACCTTCACTTGAATGTTCCCATATTTAAGGTAGTCTCTCTTTATTTCAGCCATACCCAGTAGATAATAACTGCCGCTTCTCTTACCTGTATTTCGATCCACCATTAAACACCATTATATTACTTATCACATTTGTACATTTTCGCCAAATTCACCCGGAACAAATGTTACGAAATAAAATTGAATATTTAGTATGGACTTTCCTGACTTGATGTCCTGTTTACATGT